CCCCCCCCCCCCTCACTCACGGGCCCCAGCCACTGGAAGGATAGTGTCTTCCCCTCTGCAGTTCTGTGCTGCTACACCGAAGCATGCACTTCCCGTGCCCGGCCGGCTCCCATCCTGTACACCTGGCCATGCTGCTGTGAGTGGGCCCCAGGAAAATTCCGTTAAAATCCTTGACACAATGTACCCAGAGTTATCCGCCCGGGCCCGGACCCTCAGCCTCCTCAAAGGGAACATGCAACTGTCCCGAGGCTCCTCTGTGGATGGAAAGGTGTTGCCGGGGCGTGTCAGTGCTCTCATAGGACTCAAAGCTATCACCTCAACTTCTACTGCTTTTGTCCTAACATCGGGCACCTCTGGTGGTGATGGTAGCCAAGGTAAGTCACAAGACCGGAGTGTCCAGCAAGATGCAGGTGGGAAAAGAACCCTGGCAGCATCCATACTGAGAAGTGCCAAAAGACTGCGTCTGGAGAGCGAGTCCCCAGAGCCTCATACTAGCCAGGTGACCACAGAAGGAGCCCCTGAGGACCCCCCAGGAGGAATCTCACCGGTCGAAGTTGTCACAGCTGAGGAAGAGCAAACTGCTGCCCTGGTCTGCAGCCCAGCATCTCAGCTGCATGTAAACCCACAGGAGATGGCAGAGTCGTACAACATAGCTATAGCTCGGGCCCTGAGGAAGATTGCTGAGTCCTCTTTTGACCTGCTTCCTGTCATTCGTAGTCACGTGTATGTGGGAAACATCTCCAAAAAGCCTGTCATGAGAGATCAAGAGAAGGAAGTTGTTTATGAATTTAGCACCACAAACAAGGTAGGTGGTTGCTTTTCTCTCGCTTGGGGTGGGTTGAGAGGAGTGTCTAGCAGGGACTGGCTAGTGAGGTGACACTGAAGATTACCCCCACACCTATAGAGATTAGAAACACAAGATGACAGGTGGATGCTTGACACACACAACTCGAGAGAAAAATCTATCAGAACAAAAATTTCCAGGTGGTGCTGGCATTTCAGGCATAAAGCATCCTTCCTTGGCGTGCCACATTCCCATCACCTCCATGTTTTCCCACAGTGTCAGCATCGTGCAGACTAGTGTGAGGCTCCCAAGGACTTCATATCTATGTGATAAGCACCCCTCGACTCCTTGCCCAGGTGAAGCCAGTGCCTGCTAGATCACTGCCCAATGGCCACAGTCACATGCATTATGTCCTCAGGGACTAAATATATTGTTTGTGATGGTTGCCTTTCAGAAAATCTGAGAGGCTCAGGTGTCTTCCGAGTGAGTGGCTATCCAGTTTTTAATGATACAATTCTCTTTCAAGGGAAGGAAAATAGATAGCAACTAACCCCATAGAATCTAAACAATAGAACAAATGAAAATGGGGATAGAATTAGCCTAAGCTTAATGTACATGCACACATACTTGCACACATGGATTCTTAGCAAAAATCCAGTGGATTATAATTTATTTGAGTGGCAACCATGTCATCATAGGCAAGAAGATGTATTTATAGATTTGCTATGGCTTGTTATCTGTAGCTTGACTGATCCCAAGAGGTCAGTCATAGGGAGTTCTCTCCCCTCTGGTTGTGCCCATGGCTACCATGCTAGACAAGTTGTTACCAGTTATTTTGGCCTACCCTCTGGTGTTACGTAAGTTTTATTTGTCTGATAGAAACCTAATTAGGATTGGTTCTTGCATCACTAACCGTAATTCTTTTATCTTTCCCAATCCAGCATTTAGGAGAATACTTACTTCGCTCTATTCTCTCAGAGCTAAAGATTCAGAAGACATCTCTAGATCACAGTTACATCCATGCACTGTGCAGAGTATATGTGGGCATTTGTCGGCAACTTGGAGACTTGGAAAGAGCTCGCTTGTTCTGTTATAGCCTTCTGAAAGAAGGTGTGTTCAGGTTGCAGCACTTGTATTGAAAACCTGCTGTTTCATTTTCACCCTACACTTGACTTCTGTCTTTTCAGCTGGTTGTGTCTTTAAAATTAATGTCTTTTCATCTCTGTGAGTTTGAGGCCAGGTTGGTCTAGAAATACTGTCTCAAACAAAAAGTTTTGATCTATTGAAGGGCTTAAGTGACTTTAACTATACCTAACCATACTAGTTTTCAACTGAATGTGCTTAGACTTTCTCTTTGTATGTAGGTTGTCTCTTGTTTACTTTATTCCTGTGTTGCAAAATAACGGGAATCCTTGATCAGTGACCCTCCATATTGCTGTGTTCCTGGCTAACGACAGTAATGGTCAGATGGGTCTGTAGCCTCATGAAATGCTCACTGGACCTTAGTGATGAAAAGGAGATGGAGGAGCAGGGCTGTCCTCACTTCACTTCCCCTTTACTGCAGCCTCCTCAGTCTCAATTGTGGGTCCAGATTAGGAGACCTGGGTGACAGCAAACCATTAGAGCTCATAAACAGGGCAAGGTAGGAACAGAGCACAGTGCTGTTCCAAGAGGTCGGCATCAGTGTGCGCACAGTGTTTGTGTTCACTGATTTGTTCAGTTATCCATCAGGGGACACATGCCAGGTGGCCATGAAAGGGCTGAAGACCTGGTAACACAGGGACTCATAGGTGGGCAGCAGAGAGGAGAGGATGTGGTTATGCCAAGTCCCATGGATTTCTTTCTTTCTTACTCAGTTTCAGGCTTTGTTCTGACAAATGCCTGTCTGTCAGTGTTCGTTTTGTGACTTTACAGGTGTCCTTCATCATTTTCTGTCGCATCTTCTCCTGTTGTGGTTGTGATGCTTGCCTTCCTTCCCTTTAAAAGGAGATAGATCGCTTTATTCCCACTCTGTCTCCCGTTATATTGTATAGTCTAAAAGGACAGAAAAACGCACTGTTTACAGCCATTAACCACTTGTTGTGTAACTGGGTTGTATTTGATAATCTCGTCAGGACTAAGGGAAACTATGGACTCACTATGACAGGAGCAAGCACCAGAAGGACAGGTGTACACAGCAACACATCAAAATAGTGCATCAAGTTTATTCCCAACCCCCTCAGCCTTTTACTGTCAGTACTAACAGGCAAAGTAGAAGAAAACTTTAGTCAGGCACGCCTTTGTGACAAAACTTCTCACGCTAACTGCATCGGAAAACTGGTTTTGTTTGTAAAACTAAGACACTCATTTCATGACGTACTGAGGAGTTGCACTTGTAGGTCATATTCAACAGAGATGCAGACTTGAGGACACAGATATTTATGACATGTTAATTCATAATAGCCTGAATTGGAAACAAATGTCTGTCGACGGGTGACTGCACAGATGAGCATATGAGTAACTGAACACTACGTAGTTGTGCAAGTGAACGGACAATGACTCTTGCACGCAGCCCATGGGTGGATCTCAGTTTTGTTGAGTTTTGTCAAAGAGAGAGGGAGAAAACACAGCACAGTAAAGCAGTATTACCTATTTGATTTGTAGTGGTAGTAAACAGATTTGGGATTCTCCATCTGGGAAGGAGGTACTCCCTAAGAGTAAACATTACTGTTTGTAAAAGAAAAGCCTGGAGAGTGGAAGAATTTGTAGCAAAATAATTACATGTATAAAAAAGTCCTTGTTAGAAACTTGGTTACATTTTAAACCTTGTACAATACTATAAAGCGTAATATGAGAAGGTTGTATTGGCCAGGGGGAAGGGCTCCATCAAAGAAGAGAAGTTAACATCCTGCCTCCGGATTTCTTCAGGCTCAGAATTTTCCCATTTGATACACAATATTATACAATATTACAAGACAGCTCATTTCCACACAGCTGTAGCCATTTGTTTATGTTTAAAGGTTTAAAGTCTAAGAAAACAGTATGCCAAGCCAGACATGGCCTCTCACTCCTAAAGTCCCAGCACTTGGGAGATTGAGGTGAGAGTGTGCTGCCAGCTTGCAGCCAGTCAGAACTACAGAATGAGACCCATCTCAAAATAAAAGAAAACTCAAATACTCAAGATGGAGAGAAAGAAAGAAGGGGTTTTGAGACATTGAAGACCCCCACTCACTATCCACTCACAAGCCTGTTGGCTGCTGGTACCTTGTGAGGCACCTGTGAAGTAAAACCCATGCCTAGTTTTAAATCACTGTCCTAGGTGAGACATAAAGGCTCTTTTTATCCTCTCTTTCTTACAGATTTTCCAGAATCTGAGAAGTTGACTCTATTCATTGCCAACATGTGGCGTGAAGTGTTTCTCTCCCAGTCAGCCATTAGTCAAGCGATGCAGCTGGTTGCCAGGCAGCGTGCCAGAGGCGAGGTTCTGAACTGCCTGAGAGCGTTCCTCAGCTGGGAAAAGGTATACTTTGTGTTTGATGTCTTTTCTGCAGTACGTGTAGGATGAACATAGATGTTACTGTGCAGCTTTGTGTTTGCTTTTGTTCAAATTCTTGAGCATTTTTAAAAGATGATATTTACTTATTTATGTTTGTGTGTCGCGTCCATGCCTGCCTCGGGTCAACCTCAGCAGTCTGTTCTCTCCCCACACTGTTAGCCTAATTTTATGCAGTTTATTCATTAAGTATTCATGACATGCCAGGAAAAATTTCCAGGCCTCCAAAATATATGAAGTTTGTTTGTTATGTTAATTTATGACAGATGAAACCCATGGGTCTGTAATCTGAGGAGACAGGGACTGTACTCTTGTGGAAACCTGAGAAGTGTCAGTAGCTCACAAATGTCCAAGCTCAGGCTTTGCTCTGTTGATCTGAGCCTGGGTTTGCCCCCAGGACCTGCTTGCAGTGCTGGTGGGATGCTGGGCAGTTTAACCTTGTTGGTAGTTACTTGATTCACACAGTCCCCTGCGGTCCCACCCGGGCCTTTGAGGGAAAGGAAATTTTTCTCCACAAAAAGACAAATGTGAATGTTCATAGAAACAAAACTGGGTACAATCTAATATGCCCTTGTGGAAGTAAGCGGCCCTCAGTCAGAGATGTGTTCGTGTGACTTATTACTCATCAGGGAGAGGGGTACTTAAGCTGCTCACATAGTTGAGAACACAAAGCTCAGAATGCTGGTCTCAAAAGTGAAGGAAGCTACCATCATCACCCAGCAGTTTGCGGAAAGGGTAGATTGATCAACATTTGTAGAAAGCAGCAGAGTCTATAGGAGTTTAAATGTTAGTCCACATTTAATAACCTTAGCTCCTGGTTGCACTGACTTCAGTCTGCTTCTGTCTGGAGTGCAGTTCAGCTCTTCTCTGGTGGGGGTGGTGGCTCCAGTAGCTGTGGTTGTGACTACTCATGTCTAGTTCAAACTCAGGCTGCTTCAAAGTCACTCTTAAGGTAAATAGCAGTCCGCTAGATGCTTGTTACACTCTCAGATTGCTAGCACCCTAAGACGTTGCTTTTTAATGTGTTTATTTCTGTCTGCTAGAACGCTCCTATAGATGTTGGAATCGTGGTTTCTAAGCTGCTTTTGACCATACAGCTATGCCCCAAAACAGAATTTCAGGCGAGTGAAGAGTTTGGTGAAGACCTCAGTGCAAACATTTGGGAGTACATATTTGCTATTGATCTCCTCTGTTGCCACCAGAGGTGGATTTGGACACATGATAACATCATAAGGTGAGCAGCTTTGCTGATTTAAAGAAACACTGGGTTAAGGGAAGGTAACCTGTTCATGCTGGAGTGGGACTTAGTTGTGGTTCTTTCTTACACAAGGCACTTGAAGTACAACTAATGTATTATTATAGGAGTTAACAAAAGTACCCCTAGAATGTCTGAATTCCGTTAAATCCCCCTGCCTTGTTTTTCTGTATGCTGCTAGCTACCTTTCATCACTCCCAATAGTCTCCCCAAAAGAAGTGCCTCAGCATGGGGCCCTATGTTCCCTTTTCCCTCCTCAGAAGGTCATCAACACACAGCACCTCAGCAAATATGAGCCAAGGAAGTGTCACAGTTGTCACCCTCATTCACTGATGGGCCAGAAAAGAAACTCAGGGGAACAGACAGCAGTGTGTAGATGAGGCGCTAGCGGCTCTTCGCTAGGAAAGAGTAGATGCTGGTCTGTGCTTCTGGCTCTAGCCATGCCCCATCCCTTGAGAGGAGAACATTATTCCCCAATTTAAAATTAAAAAAAAATATATTCTTTTTGAACAATTTGGCTGAGAAAGCCTGGTTTAAAGGAGGATATGACATTAAACCACTCACCACACAGTTGGTGGCTCATGTCTTTGAAATAGTTGGTTTCTGTGAGAGTTACTTTTGCAAGGAGCTGTCTGCAGGAGAAACTTGTTTTCACTCTCCTGATCCCAGGAAAGATGGACTTCTGTCTCACAGTGAAAACTGGCAGCGGGTCTGTTTTAGAGTGGGTGCTTGTGTGTGAGGATGTCTTTGTACAGACATATGGAGAAACATGTCATTGTCAGTCCTATGTAGGGAAATGACAGCTGTGCCTAGTGCCTGTCTGTGACTCCTCAGGTGAGCTCGGGGAGGCAGGTCATTCTTTCCCAGATACAGAAGGACCAGAGCTGGCACTTGTCAAGATGCTCTGTCCTTGTCCTCGTCCTCTAAGTGACTCCATCCAGATCCTGCTCATCACTGTGTCATGTCATCTACATCTGTAAACAGATGGCGGGAGGGCGCTGGGAAGAAAAGCCAGAATTACAGGAGCAGTTCTGTGGGATTGTCTGGTACTGTCTGCACAGTGACGGGCTTGTATCTTGTCGTGTTGTTTCTAGTAAGGAGCTGTGGCCTGTAATGGATAAGTGGATCAAATACAGGAAAGGCCATTCTAACATCGCATACACCCCGGATGTTATTGTCGCATCTGTGCTGAGACTGATTGGTAAGTTTCTGTTTGACTGCCTTTGCCACCCTTGTTCTTGTTAGGATCTTGGTGAGGACCAAGAGTACATTAAGAGTGTATGTTGACTACACTAAGAGTGTACATTGGCTTTAAAGCGCCCCGGCATGACTACAGTCACACTGTCAGAATGGTGGGTTTGTGCTTCACCACCCTCCTTACTCTTTCTCACATTACACCTAGTCCTCTAGTGCCTCTGTCACCGCTCCATGGTAGTGTGTTTGACATATAATTCTAGAGATGATGCTGGCACATGCACAGAGGTTCATAAATTGCTACCAAGTATTCTGTAGTCTTGTTCCATGTGGACCAGCAAGATGACATAGTGGGCAAAGGCACTAGCCACCAAGCCTGAGGGCTTCCATTTGGGCCTCAGGGGTCACAAGCTTGCATACCTTCCTCTAAGCTAACCCAACTGTAGATGTCTAAGAAGAGTCACTTCAGATTATTAGAGAAATGAAAGTTGCTGTTGGAGAATGCTATGAGACCCAGACTCTCCTCACTGTAAACTCTAGTGAGACCCTTACCTTTACTTACTTTTTTCATCTTTGCCTGACCTGTGGCAGCCTGCTGTCCACTCCTTCCAGATCACCAGTAATGCTCTCTGTTCATTAACAACCCTCATATTTTGTTTGACCTGTGGGTGTCTTCCTTCCATCTGAGGGACAAAAACCAAAGCCACCCTGATTTGTTCAAAGAGCCCTTTGGCTAAATAAAGTTCAAAGGCAATTCTGTTGACAATAATGTTACCCTATGAGAATGTGCTATGTGAATAAAACTTATAAGGACATAGTAGGAAATACAATGTCCCTGCTGATTGTCACTGTGTCTACAAAAGTCTTTCTTCCTCATGAACTTCATGCACCAGTTAGCAATGCTGTGCTTAGAACATTTATAAAATATCTAAGACAGAACATATCTTCCTGGGAAATAAGTAAAACTATGTGTGTTTTATGTTACTTAGTAGGAGAACAGGAGAAGCAATGACATTCAAAGACTAGATATTCATGAGCCCCCAAATCAAAGGATGGACAGGCACAGGCTTGGAGATCCCAGGCACACTCCATATGGCACAGTCTCAGACTGCTTTGCTGAGTTTCTTGGTTAGTGACTATTTCTCTCCTAGATCAGGAGGAAGATGGTAGTGAGAAGGGCCTGTGCTGGCAAATGAGCCATCAGGTAGCGTGCATATGCCTGGGGCCAGTCCTGGTGAAGCTGCTCATGGATTCGAGAGACTGCTCTGCTGTGGACTAACTGCTGAAAGTGGCAAGCTTTTTGAGAGTTTACAGAAAGAGGAAAGCATTTAAGCTAGTCAGTATATGTTGACCTGGGTGGTTCACACAGAGGAGAAAGCGCGTTTGCTGGTACAGTGAGAGCAGGAATACTGTCTTTTCACTGTGGTCTGTTTATAAAGCTCATATATGTCTGTGGTAGTTCCCCTAAAATGTGACATTATGATGCCACACTTTATGCGCACACCCAAGTACTCAAGTGTGTGTGTGTGTGTGTATACCTCTGTGCATATATGCTTGTAGAGGTCAGAGGACACCTCAGGTGTCATATCTGGCATGTCATCTACTTTGTGGGGTTTGTTTATTTTACTTTGGGGTTTTTGAGACATTGTCTCTTACTGGACTGAAATTCACTAAATTATCTAGGTTACCTGACTATCAAGATCCAGTGATTCAGTACTGGGGTTACAATACTCTTAACTTTTGACGTGAGTTTTGGAATCAGACTGAGCCATCTTTCCAACCTGAAACCACACTTGGAAATGGGAATTGTGATATTCTTGATACAGTGATTATGTTGTTTGTTTGTCCTGCAGTGAGAGGGGTAAGCAGGTGGAGTACTGCTCTGGTGCTTCTCCCGCTGGGCAGCACAGACTCCCAGGGAAGCTTGTCTAGGAAAAGCGGAAATGTCGAAACTGCTCTTAGCAGGACAGCAGGCCCTTGGGGTTAGATGTCACTGAATACTTCCAGAGCAGCTACTACTTATATCACAAAAGCACTTTGCACTAAATGTAACTCAGGAAGAACATGCTGGAACTTTATCTCACAGCCAGAATAAAGATAATTGGAGAGACAAAACTCCATTTGTACTTTTGTGAAATTAAGGCTTGTTTATTTTTTAAATCTTAAAGTCCCTGGCTTACAAGAGATAGAGTGATTTAGAGTAATAAATGTATTCTTAAATAATTGATAATTACTACAATTGCTATGGACAAGAATTATTCATTATTATTACAGAGCTGACAATGCCATATAATGGCAATACATAAATATATAATATGGACTTTGAAGGATGGGTAGCCATCTTCAGTCCAGATTGTGTTCTATAATGAAAAACAAGCTTTCTGTCAGTGTGTAACATTTTGGTATGGTAAGTACTAAATGAGCAATAAACGTGGCTGTTAGCCAGCAGCCATATTCAGTTATTAAGTAGGATTGGCTCCAGCACACCTTACCAGTATCATGTTGGAGATGATCCAAGAAAGTGAGGGAGGACCTGATGTACCAAGGTGCTGCAGGTGTCTTGGCAGAGGTGATGCCTGCATAAGCTGAGCCTTGGACAGGGCCACTGACTGAGGGTGGCAGAGCCAAGGCAGAAGTGTGGGTGAGAAGCAAAGAAAAAACAGCAGCTTCACCTTAGGGGAGGGGGCCAGCCCAGCCCACTCTGGGGGAGGGTCTTCCCCTTAGTTAATGAGTCATTTCAGGATAAACACCCAACAGACTCACCCAGAGTTTACCTTGTTGATTCTACAGCCAGTCTAATTGACCGCCACATTAAACCATTATGACATTTGTAATTAAAGATAATGGTACTTCTGAAACAAAGCTAGTGGGCATGGATGGCAGTGCCTGGAGTCTTTTCTTAGATCCTCGGTAGGAAACAGCACTTTCTCATCCTGTGTTCTGCATATAGTGTGCTGTGTTGTTTGGGGTGAGCAAAAGTAACTCTTAGTGGGGCAGTGGTGGTGACACCTTACTACCAGCAGTCCGGAGGCAGATGCAGCAGATCTCTGAGTTCTAGGTCCAGGAGACAGCCAGGGCTACACAGAAAGCCTCTGTCTCAAAGAAACAAAACAGAAAACAAAGTGAGTCTTGTATAGAAATCTAATTGTTGAAAGTGAAGAGTGTTGCAATGCTACTTTGAGTATTTCTAGGTGTCCCTCCTTGGTTTCCTTGAGATGGGGTCCTGCTTATGAAACCTGAAATCCAGGTAGAAAAACCCATTCGCCCACTTTCAGTTTTGTGATTGGCAGTGTTCACCTGGGAAACAGCGGGTTATGTCACCAATACATAGAACACACATACAAGGTCATGCTTAGAGGGGGACGTAAGTAGTAGAGAGCTCCCAGGCTAAGATGGCTGATGGAAGTTGTTGGTTCAAAGCTCCCATGTTACCATTGCCCATGGCATTAACTTCCTTCAAGGTGCAGCTTTTTATTAGAAAACTTAGCTCCCTCTACCAGTGGCTCTGGTTTGTCAGTGAACATGGCATGTGACAGGGTGCCTGGCTACACTCACAACTCACCTTTGGACACACTTTTCATAACATCTGTGTGCTCGGTGTGCTGTGTTTTGCATGCACTCCTGTGACTTCCCATGTCACCCATGTGTGCACCACAATCAAGGTTGGGAGTGAGTAGCTGTGCTCGCTCCATCAAGCACATTATCTGGTGAGGTTGTCGTAAGTACTGGCTGGGAAGAGTTGCCTCACTCATTGAGACCCCACTATGGCTAATGGGGTGCTTTCTTGGCACCCTTGGGCCCTGCCTCAGTGTGGGGAGGAAACACAGAGCTTCCTTGCGTTGGTGACAGGCCTTCTGACTGTGGCTGCTGCTCTGCCGTCAGTCTGTCCGGGCAACCACAGCCTTCTCTGCTAACCTGGTGAAGTTATCTGTCTCACATTTTAAACTCTGTCTCTTCATTGCTCCCTGTCTCAGTTAGCAAAAGCAACTTGGAGAAGAAAGGGCTTGTTTTTTTGCTTAGGATTCCACATCATAGTTCATCGTTGAAGGAAGTCAGGACAGTAACCTAGGGGTAGGAACCACTGCAGAGGCCATGGAGGAGTGCTGCTTACTGGCTTGCTTAGTCTTTCTTAGAGAACCCAGGACCACCAGCTGGACCCTCCCACATCAATCACTTAGAAAGTGCCCTACAGGCTTGCCTACAGACCAACCTTACGAAGGCATTTATTTCTCAGTTGTGTTCTCTCTTCTCCATGACTTGGCTTATGTCAAGTTGACATAAAAGTAGTTAGCACACTCCCTAAGAAAGCAGCTGGTGTGTTGTGCTCACGCCTGGGTAAGCAGTGGTGAGCCATTCTCAGGATGCCTCCTGAATGGCATCCTTGAGATGGGGTCCTGCACCGTCCTGTGAGATCCGTGGCCTCGGCTGTCTCACTGAACATTGGCTCCTGCTACAGTCTAGGATCTCCTGGCTTACACTGCACCATATTAAATGAAAGAGAATGTGAATCTGCAGTTTCTAGGAAGCAATAACCAGCATGTACTAAAGCCTGCTTTCACTGTGTTTTGTTTCCCCAGGTCGGTTAGGCCAGTTGGGTTTGAAGGAAGGATTTCCAACTGCCGTAAAGAATATCAGCTCGGTTATTGGTATGTTCATACAACATGCTCAGGATGAAGGTAAGACCATGGCTTTCATGTCCAGAACACATATGCCAGTGCCCCTCCAACTGGAGCATCATGTGGTTTTGACTCTCATGGTGTGTTGTTTCTGTGAAAGTCTGTTTGTCCTGTTGAGCAGTGCTTCCTCCAAAGAAGGAACCCTGCTCCCCCACCTGGTGCCCTGCCATTCAGGAAACATCTTGAGAATGGCTCCCCACGTCTCACCCATGCATAAGCACAAAATGTCTGTTGGTTGTTTTTTTATATTTTTTTACCCTTGATCTTACTCTTTTGGGAGGCCCTCCACCTAGCTCCCAAGTAAATCACACACAGTCTTATTATTACTTATAAACACCCAGCCTTATCTTGGCTTGTTTTTGCCAGGTTTCCTTGACTTAAATTATCACCCTCTTGCCTCTGGGCTTTTTCCTTTTCTTGCTTCTGTTTAAGTTACTTTTGCTGGCTGACATCCTCCTCCCCTTGTTCTAGCTTGCTTCCTCTCTTCAGACTTCTCCTCCTATTTATTCTCTCTGCCTGCCAGCCTTGTTTATCCTTTCTCATACCTTGCTATTGGCCATTCAGGTCTTTATTAAACACTGGGGTGTTTTAGACAGGCAAAGAATCACAGCTTCACAGAGTTAAACAAATGCAGCATAAACAAAAGCAGCACATCTTTACATTGTTAAACAAATGTTCTGGAGCACAAACAAATGTAACACGCCTTAAAATAGTATTCCACAACTAACATCTGCTGCTTTGTTAAGTAATATGTTAGCCACTTTTATGTCAACTTGACACAAGCTAAGGTCATCTAAGAGGAGAGAGCCACAATTGCTAAAATGCCTGTGAGGCTTTCTGCTGGAGCTGTCCTCAGTGAAAGCCAGCACAGCTACATGGGGTGAGGGCCTGCAGCAGATGGGGCGCAGTGTGTTAGCCATTTATGGATCTCGTGGTGTGAAATTTGATGTCTTGCTCTTTTGGGGGAAGCTCACTCAGAGTAACACTTAGAATGGTGGGTCTGGTTTATGTTTTGAATGTTGAGTAGTCAAGGATCATGTAGTTAAACAGCTTCTCCCTAGATATGCAGACTGATGGCACTGGGCCTTGCCTATGGAAAACAGCCTGTAAGTGCTTACTCTGAGGCGCTCTGACCAGGTAGTATGGCAGTGTCTATTGCTTCCATATGAAAATACTCTTGACAACAGTTTGGGCATATCTTGTCATACAAAAAGTATCAGGGTCATAGCTGATGAGTCATCTTGCAGCCTAGACCGTGTCACCTAGGAGGCGTATATCATGGGACATCACTGTGTGCATCCTCGACTCCCTGGAGCTATAAAGGCACAGTCCTCATTTCATACCCTACATCCCAGAGGGAAGAGTCAGGAATCAGCAGAGCCTGTTGGTGCAGGCTTGTGTGCTGCAGCATCTGGGAAGTCTCATAGGGTCACATGTGCATGTTTAAGGCTGGTATGAATGCCTTGTTTATACCTCACTGAGTCCTGGCCCCAAAGGAAGCGATATTCTATGTTTTTCTTGACTCTTCAGAAAGATCCTTTTAAAGCTTCAGTTTAGACACATGGATTTCTCTGGTGTATGCTTCCTGCTTTAGGAGTAGAGCCTTCTAGAACTGCCCTTGGCAGAGAGTGAGCATCACCCCATTCCAAAATCTGAAACTTTCTGAGCACTGACAAATACTATACCTGTAAAGTTCCATGCCACGAAACTGCTTAATACATGAAATTATTGAAATGCTGTGCTACGTTACCTGTGCTGTGTATAGAAGGCACATAGGACCGTAAAGGAATGTCACGGTTAGACCTGAGGATGGTTAGATCTGTGAGTGTGCATGTGAATGAGGGACACTCATCCTAAAACTATACTTTGCCTCTTTCCCTGCTTTGCTCATAGAAGGTAAAAGATAAGAGGTGTATGGTTAATAATGAACTTTGGCTCCTAAATAATTAAAATTTCAGTAAATTACATTAAATTATGGATTAATACATTATATTTTAAAAACTAGACTTTTGACAAGATAGGGATAATGGCTCTATGACTAAACTAGCTCTGACACACTGGCCTGGAGTCACAGTGGCCTTAGAGTCACACTGGTCTTTAGTCACAATGGCCTTGGAGTCACACTGATCTGGGGTCACACTGGCCTTGGAGTCACACTGATCTGGGGTCACACTGGCCTTAGAATGACACTGGCTTGCAGTCACATTGGTCTTAGAGTCACACTGGCCATGGAGTATCACTTGCCTAGAGTCATATTGGCATTAGAGTCACACTGGCCTAGAGTCACATTGACCTGCAATCACACTGGCCTTGGAGCCATAATGTCCTGGAGTCACACTGGCCTGGAATCATACTGGCATGGAATTCTACTGGCCTGGAGTTACACTGACTTTAGAGTCTCACTGGCCTTGAGTCACATTGGCCTGGATTCCCACTAGACTTGAAGTCACACTGGCCTTAGAGTCACATTGACCTTGCAGTCATATTGGCCTGGAGTTATAGTGGTCTGGATTCCTATTGACTTGAAGTTACACTGGTCTTAAAGTCACAGTAGCTTGGAGTCACACTGGCCTGGAGTTCTACTGCTTTGAAGTCATACTAGCCTGGAGTCACATATGCCTGGAGTCATACTGGCCTTAGATCACACTGGCCTGGAGTCACACTAGCCTGTAATTAATTACACTGGCCTTGGAGTCACACTGGCCTTGGAGTCACACTGGCCTTGGAGTCACACTGGCCTTAGAGTCACACTGGCTTGGCACCACACTGCCTAGAGTTACAGTGGCCTGTAGCCCACACTAGCCCTGAGTCACCGTCTCATCTGCTGTCAGTATGGCACATGGATGGGCTTTAGTCTATTTTATCATGATTTTCATGTCTCTGTCCATTTAGAGACAATGCTGGAGGTTGTTTGAGTTTTGTGTTAGTTGGTTGTTTTGGGATTCATGTGTGTTTGCAGCTTCATGGGGACAGAGAAGCTCCAAAGTCCTTGTGACAGCCATTGCTCAGATGTGCAAAGAGTTCTTTTATTTTTCATTGTTAGACAGGTCTTGAATGAACTTTTTTAATAGAAGACATTTCATTGCTGGCAGAAAATAGTCTGTCTGAGTAGTGTCCTCCAGGTCTCACATTCTGAGATTCTGAGAAACAGATGTTCTCTTACAACTGATGTGAAATTTCTTTTCAGATATTCCATGGGGCGTGCAGCTTGCAGCTGTCTATGCCCTTTGTGACTTGAGTCCTAGCAATCCAGCAGAGATATCCAAGATCCTGGAAGCTTGGCGGACACAGACTTCCAACACTATTCCATCTGCAATCGTCAGCTGCCTGGAAGAGGTTGGCTCCCTTAGTGCTGATGGCTCAGCTGTCTCCACAAGCGCAGGAGACTCTGCACCCTGAGAGCCCGGGGCTCAGCTCCCTGAGATGGGAAGGTCATCAGAAGGTCATGGTCACTGTGCAGAGAAGTGCCCTGACACCTTTTGTTGTAAAGGATTAGTCTGCCTTCAGCTAACTGAGGTCCAACGGAGAAAAGCATAAAGCAGGTGACAGTGCAAGGCTCCCATTTGGACTGTATAGAGATGGCCAGTCTGAGGCAGCAGCAAAGTCCTGTGTGCTCTGTGCACAGGGACAGCTCTACAGGCTCTGCGCACAGGGACAGCTCTGCAGGCTCTGCATAGGGACAGCTCTGCAGGCTCTGTGTATATAAACAGCTCTACGGGCTCTGTGTACAGGGACAGCTCTGTGGGCTCTGTGTATATGGACAGCTCTACAGGCTCTGTGCACAGGGACAGCTCTACAGGCTCTGTGCACAGGGACAGCTCTACAGGCTCTGTGCACAGGGACAGCTCTACAGGCTCTGTGCACAGGGACAGCTCTACAGGCTCTGTGCACAGGGACAGCTCTACAGGCTCTGTGCACAGGGACAGCTCTACAGGCTCTGTGCACAGGGACAGCTCTACAGGCTCTGTGCACAGGGACAGCTCTACAGGCTCTGTGCACAGGGACAGCTCTACAGGCTCTGTGCACAGGGACAGCTCTACAGGCTCTGTGCACAGGGACAGCTCTACAGGCTCTGTGCACAGGGACAGCTCTACAGGCTCTGTGCACAGGGACAGCTCTACAGGCTCTGTGTATAGGGACAGCTCTACAGGCTCTGTGCACAGAGACAGCTCTGTACAGAGACAGCTCTACAGGCTCTGTGCACAGGGACAGCTTTACAGGCTCTGTGTATATGGACAGCTCTACAGGCTCTGTGCACAGGGACAGCTCTACAGGCTCTGTGTATAGGGACAGATCTGTGGACTCTGTGCACAGGGACAGCTCTATAGGCTCTGTGTATATGAACAGCTCTACAGGCTCTCTGCACAGGGACAGCTCTACAGGCTCTCTGCACAGAGACAGCTCTGTGTATAGGGACATCTCTACAGGCTCCGTGCACAGGGACAGCTCTACAGGCTCTCTGCACAGGGAACGCTCTGTGGGCTCTGTATAGGGACAGCTCTGCAGGCTCTGTATATAGGGACAGCTCTGCGGGCTCTGTGTAGGGGGACAGCTCTGTGGGCTCTGCATGGGGACAGCCCTGTGGGGGTATGTGCATACAGACAGTGCTATCTATGATGTGTTTCACATTGGATGATATTCCTTTCGGAATTTTTGTATTTGTATATAGAAATGGGTTTAATAACTCACTGTGATTCTGATTCGTCTTATTATCCATTATTTCTTAAAACTCTTGTATGTGTTTTTATAATAAAAAATAAAAGCAAGCCATATACACTGTTCTTCTGATTAGTTATGTGTAGAGCCAAATGGTTTTCTGTCGGCTTTGCTGATCATTTATAATTGATGGCTGTAACACCTGACAATTGTTCTGGTGACCCTGTTTATTAAGTAGCTTCCTTTGGAAGCTCTTTTTAGTAACTCCTCCTGCCTGTGCTGTGAACTGGAATGGGGTGCCCAATATGCCCTGTGTACACAGGGACAGCTCTGTGTATAGGGACAGCTCTACAAACTCTGCACAGGGACAACTCTACAGGCTCTGTGTACAGGGAAAGCTCTGTGGGCTCTGTGTATAGGGACAGCTCTACAGCAGACATTCTCAGCGCTTTGACCTATGAAAGAGAAGACTCTCCTAAGTCATCACCCACTCGACCTAGGTGAGGTAAGTACTGAGAAGGGGCACAGATGTCAGCATGAGATAATGTGGGTCACCTGAGGAGGTGAACTTAGAGGGACCCAGAAGGAGGATGTCAGCCTAGAAGAGGGAATGGTAGCATCCTTCCCTGTTCAGGAGAAGCCCTTCTGAGTGCTAGTAGATGCCCAGGCTCAACTGCAAGTGACTGTCCATGTCCTGCTCAATGGCAGCCTGCAGCACACTTGGGGCTGAACTGCAGGTCTTCCTGTGGAGTCCTGGGCTCCAGAGGTGTGATGGTGACTGTTCACTGGACTGCCCTAGGGTAAAGGGATGCAAGCAAGTGCAGAAAGAAGCCAACTGATGCAGGACTTCAAGGTTGTGTGTGTGTGTGTGTGTGTGTGTGTGTGTGTGTGTGTGTGTGTGTGTACAGAGAACGGGGCGAGGCATACAGACCTAGGCCTCAGAGGGGACAGGTACAAGGTGCTGTAGGTGGCAGTGCAGATGGTCAGGATAGATAGGTTTCAAGCCTGACCTAGAGGCAGGAACAGTATTCTGTTTCAGTGTCTGTGAGGACCAGGGTACTGAGCCACCAAGTTGAGTGGCCAGGAATAGGGGCTCAGGCTTGGTGGTGGGGCTCACAAATGCATGCTTTCCATTTGCCTTGGAAACAAAATGTCCAAGAGTTGGTGGCCTGGAGCCTGTATAAGCAAAACTGTATTAGAGGTCAGGGCAGAGATTTGGGGATCAGTAGCTGATGCAGGCCAAGTGCTAACTGGTTCACACATTCATATTCATAGCCCGCCATCTCCCTCCCGCTCTCCATCTCATCTAGTGTCTCATCTGTTCATCTAGCATTCCCTGGATCCTCCTGGATGCAAGGTTAGGACAGAGTGGGAGAAAGTACAATGTCCCCGTGCTAGATAAGGAAGTGAGGTGGTAGAGAAAGCGGGAAGTGAGACCGAGGGGTCAAGCTTTGCACATCTGTGGTGTCCAGCGGTTGAGCGCCTCTAAGTTTCCATGGATGGTGGCACAGTGCCAACTCTGGCTGCCATGCTTTTACTATTCGTGGTATATCTGCAAGGACAGAGGCCACCTGTAGTGCCATGTGGCTGTCTCTGAGTGAGGCAGACTGATAGTGATTCTTGGTACCCAGCAGTATGCAGGTGGAAGCTTTTGTCATCTCATGGGAACTGTAAAGTGGAGCTGGGTGGAGCCACGTGGGCTGGGCATGTCTGCTGACCCTCTCTGATCAGGAGCTGAACTGGCAGGAGTAACACGGTCATGATGCAGTATGTCCTTGGAACTGCTGTGTGGCTCAGTGAAGGTGGTCATTTTGTTGTGTTTTTTTTTTCTTCCCTTGTTATTATCATTTATATAAAAAAATAATGTGGCTGTGCAGTTTATCAAATGCAATTGTGGAACAGGAATCTTTTTGAATTGTGTAGCCACCAAGGGGCGCTGCAGACCAGCCCATGAGCAGAGGCAGGCGACTAGAAGCCTGTCCATCAGAAAAGCCATTTTCCACTCTAAGCTACTGGTTTGACTGCCTGGGCCCATTTCCACAGTACATGGCAGGTGATGACCTGGAAACAGGTACAAATAATGTTAACTGTTTGGTCAAATCCTCTTTGGTGATTTCTATGAATAATCACAAAATAAAATACTTAGGGTAAAAATAAACGTGTCCAGGTGGGTTAGTGGTTGTGGCAGTGACCTTGGTGGACAGGGCAGACGTGGTACTCCGGCATGACTGATGAGGACTGGGGTTTCTCATTGCTATTTGACATGCATACCTGCGTGTCTTTTGAAGTGTAAATAGCTGTGATACATGTGAGTTAGCCACTTGGCTCCTCAAGACAGAGATGAGGCAAAGATCTTAATGAAGTGGTTCTAGAATTGAGTTTCTAGAGCCAGGGAGGAACTAGTGTGTAAGCCATTTCCTTCCTACTTCCTCCTACCTGTCTGACACTTAGACATGAGTGTGATTGTGAACCCTCTTCCCTGCCCTTCTGAACAAATAATAACATGTTTTTATATCAAGGGATTTCTGTCTTCCTGTTGTCTGGTATGTTTGTGTGTTGGAGTCAGTTTGTTTCCCATTAGTAAATGGTCTCTGAGTGCAGGTGGAGGTAGAATGTGAGTCTAAGGCCAGGGAGAGTTGTGTGGAAATAGCATTTGTGAACTCTGTAGCACTTGGGAAGGACTTGGTGCTCTTGTAAGGCCAGGGAGAGTTGTGTGGAAGTAGCATTTGTGAACTCTGTAGCACTTGGGAAGGACTTGGTGCTCTTGTGGAGGGTGTTAGGTCTTCAGCAGGCTCAGTGGGGGTCACACACACACACACACACACACACACACACCACGTGTCTAGTCCCGGAATAGGCCTCTGCCCTGAGAGCCCCAGGCCCACACCACTTCCTGCTCAGAGCCCACGGGGCAGCTAGACCTACCCTGAAGCATGAAAGCTTAAAGATTTCTGAGTAGGTCAGTAGAGCCGTCACTTCAGATAGAGACTGAACCAGCAGGTGCTGAAGGAGAACATGGCGGTTAGCATTAGCCAGCAGCTAATGTTAAGCTAGATCAGAAATGACTGGCCATTTTCCCTCTCAAACGGAAAGAGGACAGGGACGCTCACCATTCAGCGTTGTTCTGGAATTCCTAGCCAGAGGAATCAGACTGGCAAAAGAAGGAAGCAGCAGTGAGATTGGAAAAGAAGAAGGTCATTGTCACTGTGGATAATGTGGCTTTAAATAGGGACCCCTCCAAAACTGTTAGGACTAAAGAATGCAGCAAAATCTCAGAATGAAGAAAATAGCATTCAAAATTCTTGCCTTTGCCAACTACAAGATCTCTGAAACAAATCAGAACAAATGTCATTTACAATACCTACCAAAAAGAAAAAAAAAGAAAAGAAAATTGATGGATTGGAAGACTGCCCCTTGTTCACAGGCTCCAAGAAACACTCCTGTAAAAGCCTCTGGAACCCACTGCAGTCTAGATCAAATGTGACAGTCTTCACAGAACTGTACAAACACCAGTCTGAACTCTGCCTAGAACCACAGAAAGCTCCAGATAGGAAGTGGTCAGAGCATAAGGAACAATGTATAAGGTATCGTGCTGCCTGAACCTAAAACCCTACAAAGCTGTAGTACTCAAGACATGATACTGGTGTAAAAAGAGACCCACAGATCAATGAGACACTGCCATTGAGCTACATTGAACCAATATCAACATAGTTACAAAAGAATACACAGTGGGGGAAAAGTCAACCCAACGTGCTGCAAATTGAATATCTGTGTTTCACTGGTTACAAAACAAAAGGGGGTTGGAAGCCATGTAACCAGGCAAGCTATTCAAAGGAAACTTCGGGAAAATACTTCAGGATACTGGAATAAGTGAGGATCTTGCTGGGGGGCGGGTTTTAGTGTTTTGTTTTCATCAGATCTCAAAAGCGTAGGCAAACAAAAAACAAAATTGAATAATGGGGAATCACATCAAACTAAAAAGCTACTTAGCAATGAAACAGCCAGAAGAAACCTACAGGATGGAAGACATCACCTACAATGTGTACATCAGTGCAGGCTAAGGAAGACATCACCTACAAAGTGGACATCAATCCAGGCTAAGGAAGACATCACCTACAAAGTATACATCAATCTAGGCTAAGAAAGACCTTACCTACAATGTGTGCATCAATCCAGGCTAATATGGAGAGCATACATGAAGTAAAGAAAAGACTATGAACAGTGGACTAGTTTCTTTTCCCATCACCAGGACAGAAACACTGGACAAGCAGCAGCCCAAGGGGGAAGGGAAAATGTTTCTGCTGGAGATCCTAAGGGACAAGTCCACCGTGGTGGGGAAGGCGTGATGGCAGGAGGGTGAAGTAGCTGGTCACAGTGCATCCACAGCCAGGAAGCAAAGGATGCTCAATGCTAATGCTCAGTTCACATTTTCCCTGTTACTCATTCTGAGCCCCCAGCTGGCAGAAATGGTGCCAACCACATTTAGACTATCTTTCCCTCTCAGCTAACCTCATTAATCTAGATCCCTCATAGACACGCCTCGAGATCTGTTTCCATGGTGACTCTGAATCCCACCAAATGGACAATCAAGATTAATCATCACACCCATTAAAAATGGGCAAGCTGCCTAAACAGATGTCTCTCAGAAGACGTGGGAATGTCTGATAGATACACGATAAAATGCTAACTACCAATTGCCAGAAAAATGTAGGTCGAAGTCACAAGAAGCTGTCCGTCTCTCCATCCCAGTAAGTGTGTCTGTTGCTAGTGAAATGGGGTAATAGGACCAATGAGGGTGGCCAAGAGAGAACCCTGCCACTAATACTTGGAAGTAATAGTAGGGCAGAGGGCCAAAGACTGTGGAATATGCATCAGTGTTTTGCGAAGACATCTAGACCCCCATGTCCTGCACCCCATGTCCACAGCAGCACCATTCATGGCAGCCAGAAGTGACAAACAGCCTAAGTGTCCACTGGCTGATGGACCAATGTGCAAAGAACCTTATATATGCATGTGAATGAACATAATGTATACACACAAAGAGGGCATCATGTGGCTGTGACTGGTAGAACTGATTTTGTGTTAAGTGAACTTAATCAGGCACAGGAAACAAAACAAAACGAGC